TGGACAAACATGTTGTCTGACACCTGTTTGTTTCCCAGCCTATTTGGGGTTTTGTGGCTGTTTTGTATGAGGTGAGCTAAGCTCTCACTTCGCCTCCAGGAAGGGCTCCTCCCTTTCCACCAGCATGGGCCCCTTAGTAAGACATGCAGGAAGGCCAAAGTCAGGTCACAGGCAGGGTGTGGCTCCAGAGTAAAGAAAGAGTCAAGAAAACAGGTTGTTTGTCCTTTCATCTTGGACCAGTCCTGGGGGGGATGTTGGGCTCGGCAACCTGTTTAGCACCATACCACTACAAGCTAACAGCCACGTGGTCTTGACACTGACTCACATTATGTGACACATGGTATTTTCAAGAATATCACAGTTTGACATTGCACTGGATATGAATGCATTGTTACATTTATCAGGTATTTTACTTTTTTCGAAAACATTTTGAACTATGTCAGCAAAAAAGTCATAACACGAGGCCCACTGTCCAGAGCGTCCTTAGCAAAGCAGAGGAAGACCGTGAGATGCAGAGAAAAGCACATCAAACGGACCATGAGTAAGAATTACATTCTCCGAACCATTTTTAAATGTATCACACAATGCTCAGCCTTTATGTGTTTTTTAGTAATACTTCAGGAGTAATTAGCAAGTCAATTCTTCAGTCAGTGTTTTAGTAAAAGACCTTCTTCTTGGTGGTTTACATATATGCGCACAGACTTTCAATCGTCCTAAATTACTGCCTAAGAATTCACAAGTTCCTGTTTCTAGTTAAATTCTCTCTTTTAAGCACACTTCTTGATGTCTGTGTCGTACTTATTTTGCTTGCTTGCTTTCTCTGCGACTGGAGTCTGCTTGTTTGTAGAGGCTATCCGGTAATCTATGGAACAGTAAACACACTCAGACAGCCAAACGAATAGAGTGGACAACAGGACGAGTTATAGTGGCAGAAGAAAACAAACTTTGGGGATAAATGACGGATAGTATCAAGAAGCAGATTCTGCGTCACCTAATAAAAGACTCAAGACACAAGAGTGTCTCCATTCAAAGCCACTAGGATCTGGTGGCTTTTAGTTGGTGACACTCCTGTTTTCAACACTGTAAGTTGTCTCACATCAAAAGTTTCGCCTCAGCCTGGAGCTCATTCCCTCAGATTAAGTTGTCAAAAGACTGTGCTTTTAGAAAGCACAAACTCCCTCACACAACCAAATAGACAAAAATAACCTTTCATTTCTTGACCACTCTAATGAAGTCAGACTGATCAGATGCCTTTTTAGGGGTATTTGACATAAATGAACCACATCTGTCTTCATGCTACAGTCTGTGTTTTTTTTGGTGGCCATTTCTCCCATCAGATGCTGTTCGTTCAACTGAAGAAAACCTCTCCATGAACTCTCTCTTGACTGACTCACTTCTAGTCTTTTGCCTCTTCAGTTCACTAGCTCACAGAATCAACCTTCCTGATTTGTTCTAAAGGGTAGAGAAAGAGAAACAGAAAAAAGAACCCAGTGTAACATTTAATGCCTTCTTTCAGTTTTTTTTATAGCTGTGCTTCCCCATAGAGGGACCACTAGGGAACTGACAGAGTGTTTCAGAAAAAATATTATTTAACTATACCTCAGATCAACATAGTGTATTTTATAAACAAGTTTCACTTCCCCTTGTATTTCTCACAGTTATGTACAATCTAAATCATGTTCAATTCGATTTGAATGTACTTAGCATGGAATACATGTGGGAAACATTCAGAAATCAAACTGTATACAGCACTGATGGATAAAGACCATTTCAAAAGGACTGAGAGATGGCAGCAAAGATGGTTTTGCAAAGAAGTAGAACTTCGTATTGTTGCAAAAACAGTGCGGTTCATGGTGTTTTTGTCTGGCTGTGACAAACAGCAGTGGCCTGCAGACAGAGGAAGTGTTCTGAAACTGCGAGAGTTACAAAAGGCACAGACAGTCCTCAGCCGAGAAGACTGTTATCACCCCACCCATCCTGTCGCAGCCACACATACACACAGAGCCATACTAACAGACATGCACACCCACATCCACTTGCCCAGACACGTGCTCACACATGTGTGAGGGCCCCCTCTATGGTGGCTGAGACAAGCCACACACTCTCACTGTTTCCACACCATCGAGGATTTGTGAGTTTCTCATGTAGGGGATAGTCCTGTTTGAAATTAGAGGTTGTATATCAGCCTTTGATGGATATGTGCTTCAAAGGTCCAGCACTGATATTTTTTGCCATATAAAAAGAATGAAAAAAAATAAAATAAAAAGATGCTCTCCCACAGAGCGCAGGAACATTTAACTGGAAGCAGGGATTATGATCATAAAATGATATCTGACTTTTATATAAGGCCAATGTCAACCCCCCAGACAGCAGTGTAATACCACTGTGTAGATATTATGAGGTGTCATGTTGGCACTGAAGGGTGTTGGCACTGAGCACATAGACGGCACAGTCTGAGCACGTCTGACACTCACCTCACCTAATCGGAAGGCCTTATCTTAGAAGTGTGACATCCTGTCCATGCTGTGTAATCCACCCTGGATCATGAGGAGGTGGGTTGCGTTGTCACTCACACGCATTCTTGTGTATCTTTGAAGTTAGCCCGGCTCTTTCTGTAAGTCAGAGGCTTTTCGGAAGAGCACTGTCAAGTGTCCGTGAAAAGTGTCTCACTCACCCCTCGTTCAGGGTCTGAGTGTGTAGAAATGTCAAAAGACACACGCCCTCTGCCACAGTCCCCCATTAGATACTGTTTAATCCCAGGGACCCACAGAGGAATATCACACACTTTAATGGGATCATTTTAAGTGAATCAAATTATAGTGAAATTTAACCAGTGCTCATTTTTGCACTAGATCCCCCCTAATCCAGACATGGGACCCTATGCACCAGTGCCACAGACATCACAGGGGTGCTTTTAAAAATAAGGAATTCCCACCCCGGGTGTCTTTTTTTTGCCTCATGTCTCACAGTCCCACTGTTCAGTAATCGAGACATGCAGATTTCTCCCTCCCTGACCCCACCCCCCCCGCTCAGCCCGTACAGCTCAGCTGCCAATTCTGTTGACCTCCGACGCTCTCTATGGCCAACATTACCGAGGCCGGATCTCGCCCTGACGGAGAGCTGTGGCGTTGGCAACTGGTAATCCACGAGACAAGGATTGGCACGTGGCACAGACAGTCTGCCCTGAGGCAGCACTCTGTGTGTGTGTGTGTGTGTGTGTGTGTGTGTGTGTGTGTG